TTATTCACAGATAACATTTCATTAACAACTACCGAAGTACCTGGTGCACCACCAGTAGTTCCAGGACTACCTCCAATAGTAGCATGGACTCGACAAGGACTAAAAAAAATTTAGTACCACATAAAAATTCAACCAAAACAAAAAATTAAAAAAAAAAGTTAAAAATTTCAATAATTAAGATTTATCAATGAAGAACGAAAAAGACTAAAAGTTTATCCAAAGATCACATCACTGTGAGCAGTTTTTAAAAATTGACACGTGTTTCAATTGAATATTTAGCAAAAAAATTAAAAAAATAAAAAAAAAATTTTGAAAAAATGGATATAAATTAATTTGTATTAAATTTTTTATCAATAAATAATTATCCATAAACTTTTGAATTCAAAAATTTAAATTACTTTAATTACATTAAAGCAATTAAAATTACTTTAATTAAAATTCAATGCAGAAGATATTTTTTAAGTATATTTTCATTTCATTAATTGAAGTGATAAAAATGACCGCATTCAGAAAAAGGTCAAAAATTCTATTTTCAGTTTTTCAGATTATTTTAAGACAGAACTCTTCAGAGACCTATCTGCAAACATTTCCAAGGTTAAATTAAGCAAAAAATACTTTATCATATTTTGAGTACTGCACACATTTCTCTATTATGGTAATTGATGTGAAACATTTCAGTAATATGATAACATTAATTATCAAAATAACAAATGGAAAAATTAATTAGCAAAATTTAGTTCTAAATTTTCTACCATTCATTCAAAAAAACCTCAAAAAAAAGCTTTTCAAAGTAAATTTAAATCTAAAAAATAAAAATAAAAACGATAATAATGAGCTAAAAGTATAAATAATAAAAAGTAGATCAAATTTGTGCTTCATTTTTGTTATGAATATAGAAATTGAGTTGATTTATATCAATTATTTTAATAAAACATATTAGATACAATAAGATTTTTCAATAGAACATATAAAATAGCATGAATTTCCATTTTGCTTTGCTTATATTTAAACCAAATGCTATAAATTTTGCACATAAAAAACAAAAATTTATTCAGAGAAAATTCGAAATTCAAAAATAAAATTTTAATAGTAAGCAGTTTTATTGCCAATAATTATTAACGTATTATAATTATTAAATAAATAAACTTTTTCAAGCATAAAAAATAGTTCAAAATTTGTAGCATGGCATAAAATTATATTATTTAAAACGCTATGCACAACATTAGAAATTCTGGAGTATTCAATTTTTGCACAAGAATTTCTTGAAGCTCAATGAATATCACAATCAGCAATGAATGATATGATCAAGGAAGCTAAGATCAAATCAAATGATTTCGATGCTTTTTGATCTAAATAAGCTTATGATAAATCACATGGCAAAAAATAACAAGCAATATACGCTTGGAATTATCTTTAGCGCTTACACTTTGAAATTATTGATTACTTAGTAAGTAATTATTTTTGAATACAAAAAAACAATGCATGTACAATGCAGAAAAAATTTTTTTGAAATAATAAAACTTACGAAGTACATTTATTACCAATGCTATGCTTCATTGGTGTACTACAACTTTCATTCGTACGTGTTACGACAAATGGTGAAGCTGGAATAACACGTAGATCACGTGGTCGATTAGAACGTGGAAGCATATTACCATCAATAGGTGAGCCACCACCAATGCTACTTTGTGAAAAATTACAACGTGAACTGCGTGATAAAGGAGTAGAAGAAATGGGATAAAACAGGCCTGAAAGATTAATAAATAAGATTAATTACACAATGCTTGCAGATCTTTTCCTTCAAAGTAAAAACTTTAAACTTACAATTATAATTTTAATTTTAATTACGATTTCAATGATTAAAAATTAAAATTCCCGTATTTCTATTCCTCAGAAGTAGTTCTTTAAACCGCGAAAGAATGATATAATGATATATCAAACATTGTTATAATGATTTTTAAATATATATACAAATATAAATATGTATATGCTCAAAAACAGATCAAAACCTGTAAAGCTGAATAACTGAATTATTCAAAAAAGGAGAAAGATGATGTGAATATTAATCTGAGAACAATAACAACTAGATCAGATAGAGTGAATAATTATTACTGGAATATGAAACTGCTCATTACATAAGAGATGATATGATAAAAATGACATTAAGGTCAAGGCATCAGTATATCACTCACTAATTAGTAAAGATGATTTCAAAAATAAAAATGATCACGAAGAAAACAAAAAATACAGTAATGAATTTTATAACTATCACAAATTATCATTAGCTTGAAATCAATATCACTGATAATAACTGTTAACACAAATATCTTCTTGTACTACAAGAAGACTAGTCTATATCTCAGTGATTCGTTCTTCTATCTAAGTACTGACTAAATTGCAAGGCAAATAGGAGTGAAAAGGATGAACTAGACTGTTATGCAAATAAAATTAGGCTAATAACGAATAATCAGAATAAAACGAATGCTAGGATTTGCTCTATAATAGCAATTTCAGTCTTATCTTGCAAACGGAAGTGCAAAATATATAAGGACTATTTGAATGAAAAAAATGAGAAAAATCCACAAGGATGTTTATTAAGCTCAGACTTTGCTACTTTCATGATAATTTCCTAGCAGTATCATCTATTATTGAGCAAATAATTCTTGATGATAGATAGAGCAATTGTTGTCGAGGGACTTTACTCGATAAGTCTAAGAATCAAGAATCTATTGCATCAGACTGAAATGAATAATGAATCAGAAGCGATGTAACATTCAAATTAGAAGGAAGATTAACTTCTGAATACATTTACCTATTTACATAGTACTATTTTCTATCTTTCTATGGCGTCAAAAAAAATTAAAACTGAAGACTGAAATAATTATTAAAAAATATGTTAAAGTAAGTTCAGAAATATATAGACCTTATATGGCCACTTAAGTATTATTAGTTATCGTTATAATATCACTACTGTATATTTATAGATAGTGCCTTAACTTTATCTCAAGTATGTAATGGAATTAATTTGGAATTGAATTTGAAATAGAACAAAAGTAAATTATTATTAATTTACAGATTTATTTGAAATGGTGTAGAATTTTAATTTCAATTAAATTAAATTCAGCAATTTTTTTACTTTACTAAAAATTTGATGTAAATATAAATAATAGAATAAAAATTTTAAAATTAATTCCATATTTAACAGTTTAATAAACTTTCATAAAAAATTTTGACAATCAAAACACAAAATAGAAAGTTTTTATTCTTTGCAAGAAATTATTTTTAGTAATGGATCAACAAGTAAATAAGTCCAATTTATGAATAGTTAAGCAATATTGGTTCAAATTTCACAAAAAACTAGCTGATAAATAAAATATATAAAATACATACGCAACAAAATTAGTGTGTTTGTTGATAAGGAAATAAACTTATTGTGTATGTAAATAATAAATAAAAATTTATAATATTAATAATAATAATAATCATAATTATAACATTAACAATTTTAATATTTATTAATAATTATTGTATATGTAACGATTAATCAACAATATGAATAAAAATTCATAGTATTGGTGAAGTAACAATGATCATAATTATAACAGTTACAATCTTAATTTTTATTAATAATATGAAAACCTATTTTTATCATTAATATAAAACTTAACACAAGTTGAAAGCTGAATAAAAATCAGAATTACAAGAGAGTTATGCAACAAAGCAAAGCGTATTTAATATAAGTAAAGCAGTCGAGAGGTTATGGGCCAAGTTTCAGGCTAAAAATGCAATATTCAAATTATGCATGCATTCAGGCAAGATAAAATAACCATCTGCTTGCCTCCATTAGCCTAAATGCATTTATGGCCAAGCTTCTTTGCTCATTTCTTCTTTCAATTTCATTCTCAGCTGATAGCCTGACCCAATGAACCCATCTACATATCTATCTATTCATTACGCATAAATTAGCGAGTACCATCTTTGGTTTAATTTGAATTTAGGGAAAAGTAAACCACAAAATATTACGATATATTTTTGAATATAATAAATCAATATGATGAACTATTTAAACTTTTAAAAATATGACTGTCAAAATACAATAATTTCATCAAAGTCTTAAAAAGTTAATCTTACACTATTACACTTATTATTCTGAATATAATAAAGCATTAAAAAAACGTAGTCTTGTAATTATTGAATAAACTAATTCAAATGATATAATGTGATACTCTCTCAACTAATAATTAAATTTTTAGAATTACCATCAAATTTACAAAGTTTTTTAAATGAAATTAAAACTTTCAAAGTAGAATCACATGAATGGAATCAATATTCATTAATTAATTTATGAGTTGAAACTTTTAATAATTTACGTAATTCAATTTAAAATTTTCTAAATTGATATCAAATTTGTTATCAAACCCATTGCAGTTTGACTTGAAAAATTACTTTCATGAAGCTTTAATAAAGTGTGATAGTTTTTGCTCACATTTTGTCTAAGAAAGGCTTAAAAACCAAAAGCACATGGAAAATTATTCGTAAATAAATCTTTTTTCCTAATTAAAAATTGACGAAAACCCCTCATAAAAATAAAAATTACTATTATTACAATTTTGGATATAACAATTTTTGGTTAATTTGAATTAAAAACAGCTTTGAATAGCCAAAGAAATGATCTACTTTAATCCACAAGCATGCATTTTTAAAGAGTACTTAAAGTAAATTTTTTCATAAAAACTTTAAAACTGAAAAGTAAATTTAATTTTTTTTAACGAATGTGTGAGTGTTAGAAAAAATTTGAAAGCATTTTGCATACTTGAAATTATTTGCAGAAGAATAAGCTACGCTGTTAGAATACTTCAAATAAATATCACACAAATTTGAAATGAAAAAAGACAATTAAATTCAGTTTTATTTTAAAAATTTTTTATGTTAACAAAAATGAATGCATATTTTTTTGCTTTTTACAAAACCTTAAAATTATGGATTCCTCTGTAAATCGAATATAAACTGACTTTAAATAATCGTATGATTTCAATGCTAACTTTAAACTTCAATTGATAACAATCATGCAGAATTAGTTTGGAATTCTGAATTTGAATTCCAATTCAATATTTTAAAAAAAGTATCAAAGTAATAGTAAATTTTTTAATGGTCATTTCAACTTTGTGAAGTAAATTTTCTACAAAAAATGATTGAAAGTCATACCATCTTCTGGATGAGTGCTTCGCCTATGAGTATGATATGATGGAGGAATATCAGAATCATGCCTTGCTATTGGTGCTGTAGGTGAAGTATATGTTCGAGCAATATCACTACTGCAATATGTTCGAATGCTACCTAAAATATACACATAAATTAATAGATTATTTATTAAATAAAAAGCTTAATTTATTAAAATTAAATGCTTATTTATTAAATAAAAAGCTTGAAAGCTTAGAAGCACTGATTTAATTACTAAGTCAATAAAGTATTGAAATTTACACTATTTTTTAGAGAAAGTTGACTTGCTTAATCGTTTGAATCTTAACTTAAGGATCAAATTCTGATCAGCCATTAAGACATACTTTTCAAATAAAATAACTGCCTTTTGATATTCACTGATTCAACTTAATGAGTTGTAATTATTTCATATTTATATAATCCAATTTAACTTCCCAGTTTATAACTTAAATGCTAATATAAAATGGATAGCAAATATTTACAGATTATTTCTTTTATTTGATTAATTCTTTTCTTTTTATAACTATTTTTTTATTTTACTTATTTTTCCATTTATTTTTTCATCCATATTCTTTATCTTCAATTCAAAAAAATCAAAAATTCAAATTTTCTCATCCATCAATTGTCAATAATGAAATATAATATCAGTTTACTAAAATATTTTGACTACTATATTTTAAGAAGTAAATTATACGGTTTAATCTTCGATCACATCACAACTAATATAGAATTTAAAATAGAAATTAAATACTGAAATTATAAAATAATTTTATGCAATAACATCTGCAATCAAATTCATATTTTTTCATGAATTCAAAAAGAATATGTTTATTTCTTGACCTCAATAAACCTACAATTTAATTTCCAACCAATTTTTTGTGTCCAAAAACTAGAACAAATATTTTTCAAAACTAAACATTGCAACAACTGTTTAAGATGAAAAAAAAATGGCGCAAAATTATTAATTTAGACTTTTGTTTCTTACAACACAACTTCAAATCTTGAAGATTAAACTTGCACTTCCAATAGCAAATTGAAAAAGAAAACATCAATGAAAAAATTTGATGAGAAAATAAATTCTGAAAAAATACACAATTATTTATGAATAAAAATTTATTAGAAAATGAAAAGATTGAACAATTTTACTAAATAATTTTTGAAACTTTTTTTTTTTGCAAGAAAATTTTTGTAAAAAATTAATAAATTATGCAAATTAATGCAAAAATACTTGTACAATTGTTGCCTTTGTTAGCACTACTCTTCGTATTATTGTTGTCCTTGTATGGTTCATAATCGTAGGATGGTCCTTCTCGACCTCGATGAACTATATTATTTGGACCAACTACAGCTGTTCGAGCATCATCTAAATTATTATTATTTTAACTATTATCAATTTATATTTTTTTAAATCTTTTTTTATAAAACATATTGGAAATACGACTGAATAAAAATTCTTAATTTATTTCTGAATATTCAAAATGTGCCCATAATTATCAACTTTTTAAATCTCCATTTGCATTAAGAATCTATTTAACTCATTTTTATGCATAGAAAATTATTAATAATTTATAAAATTGCTATCCAGTTATACTTAAAAATTATTAGCTTTTTTAAAAAAAATGAAATACTTTACGTCACATTAAATTCTGATTGTTACATTTTTTAAGACAGTGAAAAAATATTTCTTAGACTTCTTTTACTGAAAAACAGATTCACTGAATTTGGATTCTGCTAAATAAAAACTTACTAGATATACCAGAATATGGTAATCCATCAATGTACGAAGTAGAGCGTACAGGCGTAAATTCGCTACTTTCATATACGCAGGGAATACTGCGATTAAGTGACTGAGGGGTTGAAAGGCACCTTGAGGGCATTCCAACATCTATTTCATCCCTCAGTTGACCTTCTCGACGTCGTGATCGTACTTGAATTTAAAGTACTAATTAATTTATTGAAATTAAATAACAAATTCCGAAATTACTTTTGTTAAAACAAAAATATAAGTCATATATTTCACAAGATTTACAATAAAAAAGCTATTAAAATAAAATAAAAAAGTTTTTTTTTTTTTAATTGAAAAAGAAATAAAATTTTCAATTCGACTTTTTAAAAAACGGATAGCACTGATTTCTGCCTGAAAGGTTTATTAAAATTAGGATTCCATGAAGTGAATTTAATATTTATGGATTCATAGCATTAAGATTCTTAGGTACTTCAAAACATTGAACAAATGTTCATTTCCAATCAGTTATGATCGTTCATGTTTTTAGCCCACTAAAATTATTCATTTAAAATATTACAGTAGTTTAATTAATTATCTAATATAAAAGATCAATTAATATGGATTTTTACATAATTTTAAATATGAAATGTCGTACAATTTTTTCATGCATAACCATAAAATATGATAACTGAATATCCAAAAGTTATAAAATAATTAATTTATGGCATTAATAAGATTTGCTAATTTTCATATTTTTGTAATTTCGTTAATTTCACAGTTTCCAATTTTTTTTAAAAAAATTGTTATTTTATGTACAGCATATAATCAATAAGTTTCAAATTAATTTATACTTAAATATTCAAAATTAATTTTATTTGAATATTAATTAACTGATACAAAATCTTAATACCCTTCCCTACTAAGCATATATTTCGATAAGCAGTTAGCAAGGAACTTAAAATAAATTAAATAAATGTTTTAAATTGAAGATATTATAAATCATTACAGTTAGATTACAGCAGAGAATCAAATAATAACAATATTTTTTAACTTTTGAAAAATAAATTCAAATTTTAATCAAGATATATACTTGAGCAAAAAATAAATGCCAAAAACAGAAATATCGTTTCAAAAATATGCCATTTCAAAGATAATGCAGTATTTATGCAAAAATTTTGATATTTTCAAATATAAAAGAAAAAAATTTCTACAAGAATTCAATAATATCATTATTTTTTGTAATCAAAAACTCAAAATATTTATTCATTTATTCATTATACATAAATTTAATAATAGAAAATACCATTATTAATAGCAGCAGCGAGCCAAGATGAGCACAACATTCACCACCACCTGCTTAAGAAATACTGCTTTTTACTTTTATTTATTTTTTATTTTTATTTTTTATAAAATCTTGCAAAAATATTTTAGCATTAAAATGGATGCATAACGTAGTGAAAAATACAATATTAACAGATGTTATTGCAAAGAACAAAAAAAATTTTTTTTTTTAAATAAATTTAAAAAAATTTTTGAGTCATACAAAAACATAAATTTGCTTAGCAGTATCATACACGGACTTTCGATAAACGCACAGTCAAATAGTATTCAAAATCATATAAGATGGCCCCCCGAAATAATCACATACGACCCCTCAAATTAAATAGCACACATTTTTATTGGTAATTTTATTTGCGAGAAACGAAAAATAAATTGAAATTTTTACCTTCCTAATTATTGATTTCAGACAGTAAAAAATATACCAACCAGTGCCTATTTGAGTAAATTATTGATTTCAGTCAGTAAAAAATATACCAACCAGTGCCTATTTGAGTATTTTAAAATATTTCTCAAAAAATTTACTGTACTTTCAGAAATTTTTTTTTAAAAAAAAATTAGAAAACTGGCAAAAAAAAAATCTCAACAGTATTTTCCAAATTATAAATAAATGCTTTAAAATTATATAGATAAAAAATTTGCATTAAATTTATGCTAATTTTTTTAAAAAATTTCTGGAAAATCACACAACAATTAATTGATAATTTTGGAATATATTTTATAATCTTTTTTTTTCTAAATTTTTACGTAATTTTGCAAATTTTTAATGGATAAATAAATATGAAAAAAACTCAGAAAAATGGATAATACTTTTAAAATGTACTAAATAAAATTTCATTTAAAAATTTTTGTAACAAATTTTACACAAATTAAAAAGTTAAGAATTTGTTTTTTTATATATTCAAAAATAAATATTCAATTGAAATTTTTAAATTAAAAAAAAATTTATATAAATATCTGAAAGCAAAAATGAATTTCCGAGAACTCTCAGAGCTAGATATACCGAGAACTCCCAAAGCTATTAAATGAAATACTACTACAGTTTTATATCAAGATTTCCTAGCAAAATCTTACAAGAATTTTCAAAACTTTGCCCGTACCAAATTCGTTTTGCCTAGCAGTGCGCAGAACTACTCACTTTCTACTCTTTTTCTCTCTCTCTCTATACCTAATCTTTTCTCTGTCTCCTTCGTCAAGAGAAAAAGTCACAAATGAATAGAAAGAAAAAGGCAAAGAATAAAAGGAAAATTAAGCATCCCATTTTTGAATTTGATCAATTTAGGTATTGATTGGTTCAATCAAGAATTATTATAGGTATTAATATGAGGTTAGTAGGTGAAAGGTTAAATGAGAAATAAGCGAAAGAGAGAGAATTAGAGATATCATAAAAGGGAGGGTAAAAGATCAGCTATTATTTGTGAATGAAATACAATCACACAAAAACAAGTAAATAAATTTGAAATCAAATTCGAAAACAAAAACTGATCTTATATTTTTTATTTTTTCCATTACAGTGTAAAAAGAGAAATGACGGATTTTACTTTGCTTAAATTATTAAACTGACTTAATTATGCACATAAAGAATTCATTTAAAAACATGAAGTACGCACATGAATTATCATAAATCCATTTTTGTAATTTTTCCGAATTACAAAAATAGTACAGAAAGTAAGTCTTGCAAGAAACAATTATTGTATTAAGGATTAAAAATAATTTAAAATATAAATATTATGTAAAAACAGAAGTATTGCAAAAAATTTTTAATCATTAAATTGATAAAAGTAAACAATAAATTTAGTCGGAAAAAAAATATTTCATTTAAAATTAAAGAGTTAAAAACAAATTAATAAGTAATAATTTTGTATAAAAACAAAAAGATTGACAAAAATTAGGACGTATTTAATTAATATTATCAATTAAAATTTTCTACAATCATGAATTTTTGTAACATTTATATATACACTGAGGATCATTCATGTAAATTGAATTAAACAAAATTATGATTATTGCAATTTGTTTATACTCTTATTTTAATTCTTATTTTAATTTCAATACTTTGTAATTTGCTTATCTTATAAGCATTTTCTTAACTTTGAATTTTATTGTAATTTGCTTATCTTATAATCATTTTCTTAACTTTGAATTTTATTCAAATCCAATCATTTTCTTAAAAGCAAATAATAATTCCTATCTATTCCTTTATAGAAAATGTTAATTTTAATGTATACTAATTCAAAATAAATTCAACAAAATTACTGTGAATTTTAAAATTCGAAAATTCTACACTATGCACAGCCATATGATAGTAATTTTGATTAATAACAATAATAATAATTATAATAAATAAATGAATAAAACAAATTATTCACTGATAGCAATCTCTATTATTTGATTAATTAATTGACCATGATAAATTATAGTAATTTAATGACAGTAAATGCATTTTTGACTGTATAAAGATTTTAATTAAAAAAAAGATAATGGGAATGATATTTGCTTGTAATAATAAGCTAATTCATGTGCAGTTTTTTGTTATCATTTTTCATTTAAAATTAATAAATTGACAGCTGTTGAGAGAGATGATGTTTAAATATACTTTATGCTTATATTCAAATATACTTAAAAAAGACAAATCTCAATATACTTTTAATATATTTTACGTTTTCTTTACATTTTTCATTATTTAAATATACTTTTATGTTATTAAAGTAATAGTAAAATATGAAAATGAAAGTACCTTTTTTCAATTTTTATGCATTACAATGCTAAAATAGTATAAGGAATAATGAAAGTATACTGCGAGAATTTCTCGACTTAAAGTAAAAAAACTTATTTACTTAGCATTTACTCTCTTAAGTTTTCTCACAACTGTAATTCGAATTTATACTAATTCTTTTACTCACAAAATTTGTCATTATAAAAAATAATTCTAAAATATTTTTCAAAATTTTTTACATTTAAATGTGTAGTAAATCGAAGTTTTTCTTCGAATTTCAAGTTTGGTTCTTTTACTAAAAACTTAAGTTTATTTGAATTTAAAAATTTGAAATTATAAAAGTGTAAAAAATAACAACAATGGAAAATATTACGTTTTGTTCTATTTTTTCACTTTTTTTTCACGAAATTTTTGAGCAGATTACATCGATATGAAATTTTAAACGCTGTTTTTCTTGAGAAAAGTTTGCTATATAAATTTTACACAATTATTTTTATTCATAATTTTTTTTAGACATATTAAAATTTTAAGTTATTGAATTAGAATTAAAAAAGCTATTACGTTTCACATACTTCTTCTTCTTATGTGATTGGTACGCTCAAGTTCATCACGATCTTAAAACTTGACTTATTCACGTCCTTAAATCAAATTCACAGCCTTCACTTTTGTTAAAAAATTATTAGCTCAATTCTAAAATAATTATCTATAAATGTTTGAAAAAATTTGTTGTCAAAGGCAATTTTTGATTAAATTTTTCTTAATTAACTTAATTGGTCAAAAAAGTTTTCGAACAAATTTCGCTCGCAAAAAAAAAGATTCTTATTTTATTAATTTCAGTTCATGCTGAGATGTAAAAGCTATAGAATTGAAAAATAAAAATTAAAAACTGAAATATTTTATCAAAAATCAGAATTAAAACTCATAAAGGTGTTATTTTAAAGCAAAAAAAAAAACCATTTATAGTTATGTGAACAAATAAAAAAATATTGAAAAGATTTAATTAAAGATAAATGATTACTCAAATACTCCATCATAATGTTTTTTATTTTTTTCCCACCAAATTTTAAATATTAGGTTTTGTGCTTTTCACAAATTTTGCATTTTCATATTAGACTAAACTTTAAACACTGAATATCAAAGATATGCTACGCAATAAATAAATAAATAAATAAATAAAATTAATTAATTAATTAATCAGTAAATAAATAAATAAAAATATAGGAATATAATAAACTGT